ATTTAGACTTTAATAAGAAGATAATAAGGAGCAATTGAAACCTTTTTTTGTTCTGTTTTTCACTTTGAAAAAAAAATTAGACTTACAGAAGAGTTCCAGAAAATCTTCTATAGCATCTAAATTTTCATATTTTTTAAACATAATTGTTTATGTAGTACTCTTATATTACACTCCTATGATTGTATCCCCTCTCTCATTCTGACTGTGGTGTATCTCCTGTTTTTTTTTCTTAATCAGAAATGCAAAAGATTCATTTTTCTTATTTATCTTTTCAAAGAAACAGTTCTTGGTTTTGTTGATGAGGTTTGCCAGCTTCCCTCTCCATTCCATTAGCTCCCCTAAAGCTATTCTAAATATATGTGCAATCTGGGTTAAAAAAAAAAAAAAAAAAAACCTATAGTAAGATTGTATACAAATGCAGCATCAAAAAAAAGTCCCTTGATTCATTTTTTAAACAAAATGCTGTTCCTAAGTTCCTCAGTTATAGAAATTCTGAAGAGCTGTGTGATTCTTCTGTCATCAATCTGTGTTGAAATTGGTGGTCCGTTAAATCTGAAACCATGTGCTTTTCTTTAACTCAAAGAAAATCACTTCTATTATTTATTTTGTATCATCTATTTCTTTCCTTCATAGAACTCTTACTAGGTTACCTGCATTATCCCTACACTGCCTGTACTGTTTTCCATCTGTTTGCCTTTTTCTCTAAATTCTAGATTCACCTTCTCTTCCAGATTACTTATTTGGCTATCATCTATATCCACTCAGCTATTTTCCCTCTTTTAATTTTTTTATTATTATAATTTGACTATCATGTCTTTAATGTCTTGTCACCTGCTTGCTCCTTTTTTCATAGCTGTTTTAGGAATAAATATCCTCTCAAATTTGTCTGAGGATATTCATTGTCATAACCTCTTTCATTCTCTACTGCTTGAACCATTTCTATTCTTTTGTTTCCTTGCTTTAGCCTTTTCTCTTATGTTTTTGGTTTCCCGCAAGTATTTGGTGATCTTTAGTCCATTGACATTAATGAACAAAGAAGTGAATTAGTTTAGGTGGCTGCCAAGAGCTTCCTCTGGGGTCGAGTAGCTCTATTTCTCTAGGAGATCTCCTCTGAAGGGGAGGGCTTCTGGGTGCTTTGTATGAGTGGGCAGGGGATGTTGACCGGCAGGCTTCACTTTAGAATTCTCAAGAATGGACTTGCAAGCACAGGTGGGTTTGGGAATGCCCTCCTCAATTGCCAGAAGAGGAGAGCTGCTTTTCTTCCCCTGTCTCTGCTCCTCATTCTTGTCTTTTGTGTCTGGAATTACATCAAGCTCGGTTCTGTGGCTCCTATGCCCACACTTAAAGTGATCCTCATCAGGCAATTCACTTTTATTAGTCAAAGGTCAAAATCCACTGCTGGCCATTGCTCAGGGTAGGGAGAGGTAGGACCTGACTGGCTGGGTGGGCTAGACCATTATGAAAGCAGTTCTTTAATTACCCTTAAGATTGCCCCAGGGCCCGCTCCCTGCTCTTGGTATTTGTTCATCTGGAGTTTCTCTAGCTCTTCTTTACCTTCACAGTATATTTCTCCTGTACGTGTTTAGACTGTGGTATTTTTGCACCTAATAATTTGCTTCCACTTCCTTTTATCTCAGAATTGCCTCAAAAGTTCAGCTCTTTCAATGGCACCCTTCCTTGTTTTCCAGTAGTATTGTGAATTTACTTATTTAAAAATATATCTTTGACATTTTAAGGCATTTTAGACTAGAGAGGAGATTGAGGAATGTCTTAAGTCTACCACCTTAATTCAATAGTGAGACTGTTTTTTGGTATTTTACATTCTATGTTCAGTTCATCTTGTTGATTCTGGCCCATCGTTGCAGGGTATTTGAGAACTATTTGAATCCTGTGGCTCAGTCTTTGTTATCCTTCCCAGCTTTAATTATAGCTCAGGGTCTGGAAGCCACTGATGACAAATTGAGTGGAACATACTTTCTCTCCCACTCTCCACGGGTCTAAAAGCTATTTGAAGGCAAAGATCATGTCTTATAATTTTTCTATATTCCCAAACAATGCTGAGCACAAGAATAGAAACCATCTAAATCCTTATTGAAGGATACTATCTCCACTTCTAAGCCCCTACTTACCCTCTAACCTTCCGCAATCTGACTTTCATCCCTTTGTCTTCACCAAAGTTAATAGTCTGAAGGTAGTCAAGGCCTTTGCATTCATCACAGGCCATGGGCACATCTCATTGGGCCTCTGTTCTGCAACTGATACCAGCTCACTGCATCCTCACTCTTGAGACATCACATCCCTTGGTTTCCATAAATCTCTTCTGGTTCTTTAGCTCCTCCTGGTTAATTCTCAGGCTTTTTAGAGAAATCCTTTCTTATTTTCACAAAAAGACTATTCCTAAGAGCACTCCCTGATCTTCTCATTCCACACCTTTTCCCTGGACAGTGGTGCCTGTGGCCATGGCTTCAGGTATGTGAAATGTACAGAAATGTAGAAATACAGCCCGGATCTCCTCCTTGAGCTTCAGGACCTTCGTTCAGTGGCCTATCGTACATCTCTGCCTGGAGGGCTTCCAGGCATTATACATCTCTGCCCAGAGGGCTTCCGGGCACTTCATGTTGACTCTGTCACCATCTCCCACACACAGGCTCCTATTTCTCCTGTGTTCCTTGTCCAATGGCCAAAGGCAGAGCTGAGGCATCATCTTAATTCCTATACCTTTAGTGAAATCCTTTTACCTTTACCTCCTAAATATGTTGTGTATGCAGCTCAACTCCCCGGGCACTTATTACTCACCTTCCTGTTAGCCTCTTGGCCATCAGCATCATTAGCTCTACGGCATCTTCATACTACTGCCAGAGTCATCTTTCTGAAACACCTTTGATTATATCACTTTCCTGTTCAGAGTCCTTCAGGGTTTTTATTTTATGTAGAATAAAACCTGTTATCCTTTGCAAAGATCCTTTATGGTATAATGTAAATGCCTAACCATCCTCTCCCATGGTTTCCCTGCCACACACACTTACACAATTCTGGAAGGGCTTGAGGTTTCCTCTTGCTTTGTGCCTTTGAACACACCATTCTTTAAGCCTAGAATGTCTTCTCCTCCTTTTCTGACTGTCAAAGACACCATGAACTGCCAGTCTTAGCTTGCCTTTGCTCTCCCCGTGAATCCTTCTTCGACTTCCCTCCAGCAGACGTGGGTATGTGGGTCTATGTATTAAATTATACCCTCTTCCCCTCCAAAAAGGGTTTGAGGCAATATAAATTTATATCCTGTCATGTAACAGGATAAAATGAATCAGTGAGGCAATAAGCTTAAAAGGAGAGTAAAAGTATAAATATAAAATAGTACCAAGTATGCGCTTAGTCCTAAAAATTATATGACATTAAGTTCTGTGTACTTATACTACAGAGAGATACACTGAAAATTTGGCTCTGGCTTTCTTAGTTGTTAAAGCTGAGAGGGAAACTTGATTGTTTATGAGTTTCACAGTGTCCATGAGCTATAAATCAAGCATCTCTGCCAGTTACTGAAAATTGCGAGATCATTTACTGCATTAAAGGGGTACTTATAAAGAGCATTGGTAAACTCAGAAGTTCCTTCCTTTGTGGTTTCATTGACCCTCTAATATAACTCCATGTAATTGCTGTATTATTATTACTATTTGTATACTGATTTCCTCAGGGTAAGAATCATATCCCCAGTACTTGGCCCAATGCTTGACATTTCCGAGTCAATCAATGACTATTTGTTGCACGTACTAGGTAACCAGATGTTGGTGATTAATGTGGGCAGATGTTTTTGTGTGAGTAGCTGCACAACTAGAAATATGTCATCATTTATACCCCATCACATATATAAACATAATAAAGATTAAATCACTGGAAGAGTCTTTATAATAACTATAACACCAATACTTAGAATACTACTGTGTACCAGATGCCACGCTAAACACATTGCATGTATATCTCATATGACTCCCAACCAATCCCATGGGTATTATTCCCCATTTCAAAGCTGAGGAAATCTAGAAGTTAAATAAGGTTCCCAAGGAGATACAGTTATTCAAAGGTAGAACTTGGGCTTAGCTCAGATGTCTGAATCCTAGCCCTGTGATTCTCAACACTTTGTTGTTGGCTCATGATTTGGTTGTATAGTAGATTGATTACAAAGTTCATGAAAGCAGAGACGTTCAGTATAAGCACGTTCAGTATAAGTGTGTGTCCTAATAGACAGGCTTTGCCACAGTCCCCTGTTCTGTAAGTTTTATTCCAGAATATTTTGAAGGAAAGAGCAGGAGTTATCTGGCAAATAAAATAATGTATTTTAAAATTAATTTTTCATGAAAAATATCAGGTAACATCCTAATATAAAACACATCTATTTAAAAAAATTGAAACTTCTGACTGATTTTTTCAATGTATATATTGGAATATGGACATGGCACAACTTTTTTCACTATAACCAAGAAAACTTATAATGTTAGCATTGTATAAAAAAGGTTTACTCTTATGTTATTTATTTATTTATTTTCTTTCTTTTTTTTTTAAATTGTGCTTTAGGTGAAAATTCACAGCTCAAGTTAATTTCTCATTTAAAAATTTGTATACATATTGTTTTGTGACGTTAGTTGCGATCCCCACAATGTGACAGCACACTCCCCCTTTCCCCCTGGGGTTCCCTGTGTCCAGTCTACCAGTTCCTGTCCCTTTCTGCCTTCTCATCCTGCTTTTGGACAGGAGCTGCCCATTTGGTCTTGTATATCTGATTGAACTAAGACGTACATTTCTCACGTGTATTCGTGTATTATTTTTTGTTTTATGGTCCTGTCTAAACTTTGTCTGAAGAGTGAGCTTCGGGAGTGGTTTCAGTTCTGGGTTAACAGAGCTTCCAGGGGCCATAGTTTCAGAAGTTCCTACGGTCTCTGTCAGACCATTGGTTTACTCTTATTTTAACCCAATTAATTTTCACTGACAAATTGACCATTGCTTCTTACCTGAAAGTTGCCAAAACAGCTTCCCCCTGGGAGAGTCACATAGCTCACAAAGGGAGGTCCAGGAGATGGCAGCGACTCGTAGACCACCACGCCTTCACTCGGGAAGGCAGCCCTCTGCTGCTGCTTGCTTTCCCAAAATTCCTGTAACATCGACACAACATTCACTGAAAAAGACAAGAAAAATCATCAGTTATTAAGGATGGACACACCCTGGCAAGAACAAAATTTTTATTTGCAGCCTGGATTCTGTAACATGTCAATTCCAGTTTTAGCAGAGTGGAAAATGTGAATGGCAGGGGTGCTTGCAGCTGTGAATGAAGCATATAGTATTTTAGTGCACGTGTGTTTATTTCTTCATGAGTAAGACTCAAGTGGTCTTGGCACCCCAATTTTAACAACGTTGCAGTATATTAAATTTACTTTATAAATTAGTTTTCAATAGCAAATTTTAAAAACCTCCCTCTTCCTTCTTTGAAAATTTGCCTTAATAAGCTTTGTCAGAGCTGTGATTATCCACGGTCCACTCTCCTATTTCTGGGATTTAAACCTGCAGAGTGAAAGCCAAATTGGGACGTAAGCAATGTGATTTAATTGGGGCTCATAGTATAAGATTGTAGAGGAGACAGGCATAGATAAGAAAACACTTTCATTCCTCCTCCACCTCCATGTAAAGGAGAACGAAAGGCAATTGTGGAATAAGCAGGAGGCTAGAAAAAGGCACGAGTGAAACTAATAACATGGAGATCTTGTTAAGGACAAGGTCTGTTAGATGACTTCAGAAAACATAGTAATGGCCACAGCCATATGTTTTAGATTAAATGACCTGTGATAGCCTGCAGAAGTTCCAGATCAAATTAGGTTGGTTTGTTTATCCTGTACTGCAAATTGAATTGTGGAAATTAACAAGGGTAATAGAATCTTAGAGTCAAAAGGGACCTTACAGGTCATGTAGGCAAAACTCTGCGTAATGCAGGAATTTCTTGCACAGCACTTGTGACAGCTACCTATCTGGCCTGGGCCTGAACACATGGATGGACCTGGTACTTGGCACATCTTAATGCAGCCCATTTCAGCTGCTAATGGTTCTGGCTGAGGAAACGTCCTTCTTGGGACTGAGCTGAAATCTGCTTTCCTGAAAGGTTGATACAACAGGTCTACTTTTCTTCTCTGGCGCCTCAGAGATGTTTATCCCCTCATCCATATGAGAGCCCATCACATATTTGAAGGCAGTGTAGGACATCTGTTCTTTCTGCCTGCCTGGTATTTGCACCCGATCTCGTGGAGGATAAAAAAAAACAGTTGTAAAGTCGATTCTGACTTAGGATGACCCCATGTGTGTCAGACAGAGTAGAACTGTGCTACATAGAGTTTTCAATGACTGATTATTCAGAAGTAGATTTCCAGGCCTTTCTTCCAAGGAACCTCTGGTTGGACTCGAACCTCCAACCTTTTGATTAACCATTTCCACCACTCAGGAATTCCCTCATGGTAATAGCACAAAGGTTTTCATTGAAGAACCAATTTTTCTTCAACCACGTGGTCTCTGAGGGTTGGGATAGGGAAATTTGACCAAAGCCAAGCCATTTAGGGAGCCCTGGTGGCATAGTGGTTAAGAGCTCAGCTGCTAACCAAAAGGTCAGCAGTTCAAATCCACCAGCTGCTCCTTGGAAACCCTATGGGGCAGTTCTACTCTGT